TCTCCCTTCTTGCTCTGTCCAACTCCCTGACAGGGACAGGGAGCCAGGTGGGTGTCAGGCTCTGCTCTCAGGGAACAAGGGACAGGACAAGAGGAAATGGCCTCAAGTTGCACCAGGGGAGGTTCAGGTTGGATATCAAGGAAAAATTCTTCAGGTAAGGGTTGTCCAGCCCACAGGCTACCCAGGACAGTAGCTGAGTTCTGATTCCTGGAGGTATTGAAAAGCCATGTGGATGTGACACTTGGGGACATGGGTTAGTGGTGGCCCTGGCAGTGCTGAGGAATGGGCTCAGAGAGATTTTCCAACCTAAACAATTCTGTGATTCTGTGACTTGTGCTTAAGGAGTAGTGGAAGATTTGATGAAAACAGATTAAGTTCGGTATCAAGAGCCTGAAGTCCCCTTGCAGGAAGGGCTGTCCTGATAAATCAGACCTGAGAGGGGATCCAAGAGCTGAGCTTTAGGCAGAGCCCATGGCTCTATTCCCTCTGCAGCTCCAGCTACCCTGGCACGGTGAGGCACTCCGGCTGCTCCCAGAGAGACTGGAGGCAGTGTAGCACTGTGGGACCTAATGAACGGCAACAATGCAAATCAATGAATTCCCATCGACTGTAGAACCACCGCCCCTTCCCACATGTTCCTCTCCCGGCTGTCGCTGCCCGGGCTCGTCCTGTCCTGGCAGAGCTCTGCTGCCACCTGCTGCCACCAGAACCTGCTCCTGCTGGACTGAACGCAAACCATCGATCCCTCATCTCTAAAATGTGGGACATTGGATGATGTGTAGAAGCTCCCATTGCCTGCCAGGTGCTGCTCGGGGTCTGGGAGCTTTGTGTGTCTGTTCTGCTGTGCAGGGACACACTGAGAATTGGCAGGAATGGGAAAAGCCACCTGAGACTAACTTTAAAGGCTGGCTGGAGTGGCTGTGAGCAGCCAACATTAGCAAAGGGAAAATGGGTTGTGGAAGACTTTTCTGGATGAGCTGGGGACCACAGTTTCTGAGGTCAGAAAAGGGTCTTTGATTGGAAAAGTTTGTTTTCCTTATTGGATTGTTTTCTGCAGGGGAAGGAACTGAACTCAATTATCCTTGTGAGTCTCTTCCAAGTCAGGAGTTTCCATGATTCTGTGTTTCCTTAGAAATCTGGAACTGGGGTGTATCCTCATGGGAGGCACAGGGGAACTGGGCTTGGACCCCAGTGCCCATCCCCCTGAAAGGGAGGGAGCGTTAGAGCCTGGAAATGCTCAGGGAAGGGTGATGTGAGTGACTGAAGGTTCTGTGGCTGTGTCTCACTGTGTGCCTGCTGGATTCAGCCAGCCCATGTGTCCCAGCTTAAAATTAGGAGACAACTTGTGACTGGGTGAGATCCCAGCAGGGATCTGAGATGGTGCCCAGGTATGATGGTGGTGTTGGCACTGGATGAGCAGAGGGAGGTGCTGACATTTCCTCAATGTCCTCTTTAAAGCTGCTCTCAGTAGCCCACAGACAATCAGAACGTTGTGGGACACGGAAACATGTTCTCTTTCCAACCCCAAATTCTGTAGCCCAAGGCTATTTTCTGGATTTTGGTATGATGGAAATAAAGGATTGGTGGCATTGCTGGGGACAGAAGGGCAGGAGATGAGCTCCGGCTCCTTTTGTAATGACTGTCACTCCTGCTCTCAACGATGGCATAGTCAGTGCATTTTTTTTTGAGGGGTAAAATAAGCACTAAGCAGCGACAGATTTATTTTTGGAAGGTTTTGCTCTATGGTGGGCACACAGACATGTCACGGGTCTGCTTCCCACTTAGCACCTGACACCGCACTGCACAAGAGCTGGTGGCTCTTGGGAGTTTTTCCCTCCTCTATTACAGGAAATCAATCCGAGCTTTAGGCTTTAGGTGTAGAGGTTTAAATAAAATATGAGCTCTCCTCATGGTTATGACTGTTGGCACCTTGTGCCTCTCCATCTCTGAAGTGTAAGTCTGGCAGGGGCAGAGGCTCAGCTGACTCTGGCTGTCCATGCTGGTGCCTCCTCGCTGCTGTGCTGAGCACTGGGATATTAGAGCCCTGCTCCCCATGGAAGGCTGCAGGTTGGGTGTTTGTTTCTGGCTCAGCTGAACTGATGTGTGGTGGCTCCATGCAATGAATTCCTTGCTGAGATGGTTTAAATATTGTCCTATCCTTTGGCTGTTTCATTATTTCACGCCCAGGGAAGTTTATATCCATTATAATAGGTGGAATTTGTGTTTTCTTCTATTTTTCCATCCTCATTTTGTTGTGCTAAAAGTCCTCCAGAGTTTCCAGAGGAAGGGCACTCTTCCAAGTACAGCCCTCCCTCATGAGATGGATATGATGGCTCAGAAATAGCTAAGCCATGCTGGTACATTTCCTAATGAATATTGTACAGGCTGGACTGCGCTCCCAAGTCTCGGCATTTCTGGGAAGAGACATCCTGTCCAGTAAGCAATATGCACCACTGACACACAGCCTCTGGTTTAATAATAATTTATGTAATTCCAGAGGAGAATCCTTTTTCTGCCTTACCTGCTGCCTCGTGCCTCTCCACAGGAACTGGTGACATTCAAAGCAATATTAAGGAGATGGATGGAGTGGCTGTGAAGATCCAGCTCTGTCTCCCACACAGAAAGGAAATCCTCCAGAGGAAAAGCAGTGGAAATGGAGCCCAATGCAATGAAGACAGAGCAGGATGGATGCCTGTCCCTGAGTCTCCCTGCTGTACCCCTGGTCACTTGGATACCCCCCTCCCGAACCCTGGGAGCCTTTGGGGCTGTTGGTGCTGTGCTGTAATTTCCTCAGAGAAATTATGCAATCCCTGCAAGTCCCACAGGAGTCCTGACAGAACAGAAACAATCCCTGGCAAAGTCCCCACAGAAAAGGGATCTGGTTATTGTCACCCATCCCTCCTCTGGGTCCCTAGTGCTGTCCGGCACCTCACAACTCTGGGAATTCCCCAGGCAGTTTTCCAGGGCAGCAGCAGGAGCAGGCCTCAATCCCTGCTCCCTCTGTGCTCTGCTTCCCTGAGGGGCTCTCCCAGACAGCTGATTTCCATTTAACATTTCCCTTTGGAATTTCTCTGGCTGTTGTCAGCTCCATCCCAAGCAAATCCTGACCAACAGTGGGACACTGAGCCAGCATCTCACGGCTGTGTCCCTCCCAAGACACAGATACTGTCTAGGACATGGCTCTCTCCGTCCCTTCTTCAAGGAAGCTGGAATCCTTCTTTTACCTCTGCTAAGTTGACTCACAGCTTCTTTCCTGCTGTTCTGACTAGAAGAGAGTCACGAATCCTTCCCTGAACACAAGAGCCTCTTGGCTTTTCATGTCACCTTACTTATCCAACAATTACTTCTTAGAAAGAGGTATTATTTCAATACCTCTTAGAAACAAGTATTGGATATCTTGGAAAATACCTGAAAATAGGTAACTGCCTTTGAGCAGAGAGCGAATTAGCTAGTCATTCCTAGTTAGGATTTCATTGTGGCTAATAAATACCCCATAAACACCAGAAATGATAGTTTGTAAATCAGCTCTAAAAATCCCCATTAATGATGAGATTCAGGCAAAGTGAATGACTTGCAGGTTATGAGCCTTTCCACAAACGAGTCATTCTGCCTGGAGAGACAGGAACAGTACAGGTATGACATAATGGTTAGACACAAAAAAAAATCCACAGCAGTATGAAGTAGGTCTAAAGAGACACTTTTTGTTGGTCTGGGGTAGGAGGGAAGCACTACAAGGCTGATAGAAGTGGATTTAAAAAAGGTGGGAGAACACTACAGTCAGCGATGCAGCAAGGATTAGAGAAATAAGGCATGATAACCTGGAAAACCACAAATGTTTTGGGAAGAATGAGCCTGGGGAAGGACTGAAAAGTGTTTCCTCCACAAGTGCTTTGACTAGAGACAGAAATTCCTTAGAAACACATATAGGAATGATAATGTCTGCAAAAATCGGTTTCATTGCCCAGCGTGCAACAAGCCAATAATGACACACAAGACACTGATGATTTATTTCAGAGTTGGGTGTCCAGTGTAATTCCACAAATGCAGCACCCCAACTATCAAAACTTTTTACGACTTCTGCATTTTAGGTCAGTGGTTTTCTTGGGTCAGTGGTCACGATCTACCCCTGCCAGAATCACCTTTTATCCTGTCAGAGCTGATTTCAGCACAATTGCTGAGTTAGCTTTATTAGTTTCTTCCTTATCTTGGGAGTTCTGCCAAATGTCATTATGGCCTGTAAATTAATTTTGCCTTCTTTGTGTCCACTATCATTGGAAATCCTTCTTCCCAAGCTTTGTTAACCTCAATCCAAGGTCTGAGATCACTGAAACTTGTGGAGCCCTAAACCTTAACAAAGCAATTCTACCCACAAGTTACTTGTTTTTCTAACACCTGGACATCACTTAGAGCTTGTTAGTTGCTGGTTCATGGATTAAATCTCCCTTCTTGATGAATAGGCTTGAAAGAATGCAAAGATTAAACACAAAGAACGTCAATTCTGAAGAAAATTTTACACATAGCCCGTGTTGCAGGCTGTAAGGAACCCACACACTGCCCCAACCACGAACAACTCATGACAAGCGTTCATTTTCGAGCGCCCTCCACAGGCGCCGGCGGCCATTTTGGGGCGGGAGGGCGGGCGGCGCCTGGGCGGGAACGGGCCGAGGGGCAGAGCCGGCCCCATGGCGGGGCCGCACGGCGGGGCCCCGCGGGGGGTGAAGGGGTCGTGGGAGAGAGCTCAGCTCATGGCGGCGGCTGTGGCGGAACGGAGCGAGGAGGAGCCGGGGGTGGCTCTCAGCCCCTTCTCCTGTCAGGCACCGGGTTGTGCGTGCTCCGTTCTGCCCGCAGAGAGGGCGTGCGGAGAGGCGGCGTTTGGGGAAATTCCTAATAAACCAGGAGACGCGCGACTCGTGATTATGACACACAACGACTCTATTTTATCCGTCAGTGTGAGGGAGACAAACAAAGTCATGGAATCACAGAATATCCCGAGTTGGAAGGGACCCACGCGGACACGGAGTGGACCTTGGTGGCCATGGCCCCAGGGCTCGGGGATTTCCTCGGGAAGGGCTGAGGAGCCCTTTCAGGGCATCCGTGCCGCGCTTAATGACAGCGGGGGCGGAAAGCTGAGCTGTATTAAGTGTTTTTAAACACAATCAGACTTAAACTTAAGATGGGAGATGCTCAGGGTGGCTTAAAGCTGGCAGAACCTGTCAGTGCTTGGGCGTCTGCGGCGAGGGGGGCCGAGGATACGCGCCTTTGTGCGCGGAGTGAGAGGGAGCAGCAGAACTCGGCTCCAGCGGCTGTAGCTCAGGTGGTTGTGCTGGTTATTTATTTATTTTCATGGGGGTGTTGAGGGGAAGGCTGGGTGTATGGAGGCACGGAGCCTCCCCCCCCTCCCGCGGCAGCGGAGCTCCGGGCGGGGGGTACCGCTTCCCTGGGGTTGGAACACACCTTCCCGGGGCTGGAATTCCGCTTCCCTGGGGCTGGAACACACCCTCCCGGGTCTGGAATACCGCTTTCCCGGGGATGGAACACAGCTTCCCCGCGGCTGGCAGGCGATTCGAGTCCCGTTTCGCTGCTCGGTGGAGCTGATGGCTACAGGTGAATTCCTTTTCCCTTTCATGCGATGTATGGCTGGGGGAGATGAAGGGATAGTGGCTTATTTCAAGGAAAATGGATGGGAGGGCAGTGACTTATTAATTGCTTATTTCAGTAACGTACCGTAACGTTACCGGGCTGGTATGAACGATTCATTTTTCTTTCCGTCTCTCCCTTTTCCCCCTCCCTCTCCCCCTTTCCCCCCTCCCTCTCGCTCTCCACAGCCCACCTCTGCGTAGGGCTGTGTAAACTTGGAGGAACTCGGGTATTTTCGGAGCAGACCTTCACTCGCATCGCCGCTCAGCCAAGATGCCCGAGCAGAGCAATGATTACAGGGTGGTGGTGTTCGGAGCAGCCGGGGTTGGCAAAAGCTCCTTGGTCCTGCGTTTTGTAAGGGGGACTTTCAGGGAAACCTACATCCCCACCATCGAGGACACGTACCGGCAGGTGATCAGCTGTGACAAGAGCATCTGCACCCTTCAGATCACGGACACCACGGGCAGCCACCAGTTCCCTGCCATGCAGCGGCTCTCTATATCCAAAGGGCATGCCTTCATCTTGGTGTACTCCGTCACCAACAGGCAATCCATGGAAGATCTTCATCCCATCTTCGACCAGATATGTCAGATTAAAGGGGACATCCAAAAAATCCCCATAATGTTGGTGGGGAACAAAAGTGATGACACACAGAGGGAGCTGGATGCCAGCGAGGGGCAAGCTCTGGCCAGCAAGTGGAAGTGTGCCTTCATGGAGACATCGGCCAAAATGAACTACAACGTGCAGGAGCTCTTCCAGGAGCTCCTGAATCTGGAGCAGAGGAGAACTATCCGTCTCCAGGTGGACGGAAAGAAATCCAAGCAGCAGACAAAGAAAGATAAACTGCAAGGCAAATGCTCTGTTATGTGATTGCCTTTGGCTCTACTTGCTGCACGGTGTAGTCAGAGCGTGGATTCCCGTGGAAAACACATTTCTGCTGGGTGTTTCAGAGGAATCCATGCCTTACAGGGCTTTTGCTTTTCTCTAAAACCCTGACTGGATTATTTTACGTGTTGGTTTTAAAGAGGATGCCTTCTGCATGTTTATTTTTTTAAATCAATAAATGTTCCATGTTAACAATTACCTCTGACTAGAAGTTTTTAATGCAAGAAGTTTTACAGAGGAGAAAAATGTCTGTCAGAACAAACATCTCTATTCCTGTGAGTACACACCAGTTTTTAAATATCTCCAGCCTCTTAGCTCGAAGGAAATCATCTTTAATGTGTAGACTTCAAAAATTGCTTTCAGTAATCTGTTGACCAGAAAAATCCCTAGCACAGTGAGGCATCTGCACTAAAAATGAACATTTATGTGGTTTATCTGGCTGCTTACATTTTTGATTGACAGACCAAGATGGCAATTTTTCTGTGGTAGAAATTAAGTTTTCCCATGTGCTGTGCAATTCCTGAGACTCCTGCAGTTCTGGCAGTTACAGCTTTACCAGGTTATAATCAGGCTGTTTGGCTTTTTTTCCCACTGTACTCTGACTTCCACTGTTCACTGAGGCAGGACATTCCACGTGCTGTGGCACCAAACCCAGGGGTGATTCTTGGTGTCCTTAAGCAAGAGCTGCCAAGGATAGGGAACTGCCAAGATAATTATCACTTGTTTTCTGTCTGACGCTCCTTTTCTGGTCTTCCTGGGATTCTTAGATATTTGTTTTCCCCTCTTTATTCTGTCCAAGTTACCCAGGTTTAGATGAGACTTGAGACAAGTTGGTTTGGGTAACAAAGCCTGGGGAAGAAACATCTACACTGGAAGGTTCATGTTTCAAGGAAACTCCTCTCTGATGGGAGCCTTAAGGAGACACTTTCCACAAATGAAAGGATTGGAGGCATGGGCTTAGTTTGTCTCTTATCTCACTCCCCCAGTCTGGGTTTTTTGGCTGTTGTCAAAAAGAGCTGAGCTTGATAAGTCTCATCTGCAGTGCATGGTTGAGAGTTCAAGAAAATAAATGCAAGTATTCGCTATCAGGCTCTGCCATGGATCTTACTCCTTCCTGAAGAGGGCTGTCCAGCTCGAGCACAGCAGCCCACAGCTGGAGTCCCCATACCTGGAGGGATTTAAAAGCCCTGTGGATGTGGCACTTGGGGACAGGGGTCAGTGGTGGCCTTGGCAGTGCTAGGGGAAAGCTTGGACTTAGTGGTCTGAGAAGGCTTCTCCAACCTAAATGATTCCATGATTCTGTCTCCTACTTTGGGTGCATATTAGCCCTCCTTTGGGTGTGTAGTAGCCCAAGAAGACTGTAAGACCTCAACATTGCTCTGTAAATTTCACTTTTACACAGCAACAAGAGTCTTGATGTGGGAGACTGAGCAGAGAGGAATTGCAGCTTTTTATAGCACTTTTCTAGTGAAGTGATTTTATTGTTGAAGATGAACACAGGTATGGAACAGAAGGTGCTGGAGAGTGCACACAGGGGTTTCAGGCCCATAGTTTGAAAGCCTTTATGTCTAACATGAGCCAAGGGGAGGCTGCAAGAAAGATGGGGAGAGACTTTTTGCAAGGGCATGGAGTGCCAGGACAAGGGGAAATGGCTTCCCACTGCCAGAGGGCAGGGTTAGATGGGATATTGGGAAGAAATTGTTCCCTGTGAGGGTGGTGAGGCCCTGGCACAGGTTGCCCAGAGAAGCTGTGGCTGCCTCATCCTTGGAAGTGTCCAAGGCCAGGTTGGACAGGGCTTGGAGCAACCTGGGATAGTGGAAGGTGTCCCTGCCCATGGCAGGGGGTGGGACTGGATGGGCTTTAAGGTCCCTCCCAACCATTCAGGGATTCTGTAATTCTGTTTATCAGTGCTGGGTTTCAGTGTAAGGTGCTGGAGAAGGGCCTTTTCTGCCAGCTGTCATTTGTTCCTGTTGCAGACTGATGCACAAAGCCATGAAGTTTGTATCACATCCTTGAATAACTCTTAAAATCACTGGTGGTGCCTGGTGCTCTCATCTCCTGTGTCCGTTCCTGAGCTGCTTTTCCAATCTCCTCAGGCTGTCCCTACACACCACATAGGGTCAGTTGGCTCTGTGTGTGTGCCCAGGGAGTTTGGTCCCAGTTCCAGCTGGAGGCCTCACACCATTTGAGTCAGCAGAAAATCTTATTCATTGTGATTTCAGAAACCCAAGGAAGTTCTGCAGGAGAGTTTGGAGCTGGCAGAAGGTTGTGCTCACTTGCCAACATCGGTGCAAAAGCCCTGCTACTGATTTCCCTATTGGAGAAGGCATCCCACAAGCTCCCAGTGCAGGACCTGTGGTTCTGGCAAAGTTATGCAAAGCTCCTTGTGAGTCGTTTTGTTATTATTACAAAGACTATTTCAGTTCCATTGCAGCCTTCAAAACGCCTCGAAGACATTTTCTGCTAAACCTTTTTAAAATGTCAGGAGACCTAATAATGTCTATACAACTCCCACTGCCTTCATGGAGATGCCTGTGCAAAGGATCTGCAATTACTCACCCAGCCAGGATGTTCTGGAATGTGTCATTATCGCTGTGGTATTCCCTGCGCAGGGTGTGGAGATCTCCGAGGGCTGGGATCTGTCACAGCAGAGGGACAACTCATGGGAACAAAACAGGCTCAGTCCCACCTGCACCTGGGAGGAACTCTGAGGGAGCTGGGGGGGGCTTAGCCTGGAGAAAAGGAGGCTCCCAGGGGGACCTTCTGGCTCTCTGCAACTCCCTGACAGGAGGGGGGAGTCACGTGGGGGTCGGGCTCTGCTCCCAGGGAACAAGGGACAGAGTGAGAGGAAACAGTCTCAAGTTGTGCCAGGGGAGGTTTAGTTTTGATATTGGGGGAAATTCCTTCATGGAAAGGGCTGTCCAGCCCTGGCACAGCTGCCCAGGGCAATGCTGGAGTCCCCATCCCTGGAGGGATTTCAAAGCCATGTGGATGTGGCACCTGGGGATGTAGGTCACTTGTGGCCTTGGCAGCGCTGGGGGAACAGTTGGACTTGACGAGCTCAGAGGGCTTTTCCAACCTGAATGATTCCACGATTCAAAGGTGCCTTTGGTGGCATGGGAGGAGGTCCCACAGGATTGTATGGCCATGGAGAGGCCGGGGTGGAGGTGCAGGGGTGCTCCTGGGAGCATCCCAATTTAAGAACCTAGACCAGATGGGGAACAAGTGACACCTGCTGTGGCTGCTCTATAAATAATCCATGTCTTGGGTGTGCCAGCTCAATTTGGTTGTAAATTAAAAGCGTGTTAATAAATAATATATGTTTCCATATAAACTGAACCAATCTGGGGGGAGGTGTCTGTGTGTGTGTAATCTCTTGTTCTTACAAGAAGGGAAATTTATTTTATTGGAATGGCTGCTGCCAGGATGCTGGGCTTTGTAATGTGAGGAGTATATGTTGGAAGGAAATGATCCTACCCTTTTTGAATAAGTGCAGTTTAAAAAAGTGAACAGATTTGTGGTTTGTTTTTTTAAGTAGATCTTCTGATGAAAGACACTGACATGAAATCATTTGTCAGCAGTGAAGAAGCGGTTCTGCTCTCTGATGGAGCTGGTCTGGCCTTGCATTACAGGTGTTGGTCTTACCTACCATTTTCCAGCACTGCTTTTCCAGGAGCCAGTGACAACATGTTTTTTATGGAGCTGTTTATGCATCCTGTAAATCCTTCAGCTTGCAGACATGCCCTGACACTGCTTGTGCCTGGTGAGCAGGACAGGAACTCAGTAATTCTCAAGTTGTTTCTCCCTTTATTTTTTCCCCCTCTCCCCATTCAATCAAGTTTTGTTCAACCCCAGACCTCACTGGTTTTCAGAAAGGCTCTTCATGAGGTCAGATGTGGAGAGACAAGGTTATGGAAGATGCTGGCACAATTTGTTGAGTTGCTGTTAATGCCTCCATAACATTTTATTGGGATAAACACATTTTTTATGTGTTTATCTACTATCAACTATTGTATGATCATACGAATATTTAGGTTAGAAGCTGTCAAATCAGAAGTATTTTAATGGACAAAAATAATAGCACTGCAGGCCTGATTTTTGCTGAAGGAATAATAACACCTTTAATTTTAAAGCTGTTCCAAGACTTCCTCTCTGCAATCCTGAAATTGAAACATTTCTCAATTAATACCTATTATTTCCATGCAGTACTTGTTGACTGGCTTGAGGCATCTTCCTTCCCAAGTCCAACCAGGAAAATCAGTGTCAAGAGAAAACACCAGGGAGGAGAATCACAAACAGCTCTTCTTGCAAGAGAAAAATGTGAGCAGTAGCTAGTGTCCACCCACACATCTATTTTAAAAACAAGGAGACAGAATATTGCTATATTCCAATTCCTCTTCCCAGAGCAAAGCAGGCACATGATTAATGGAACAAACAGCTCAGAATAATAAGCAATATTGCTTTATATGCAGGGTCCATAGTCTTGAGGTGCCCAGCATGCTCTGGAAGAGTAAAACCTCATCTTAATCGTTGCCTGTCATCCTGTGCAGTGTTCTGTGGCCCAAATTAGGGACATCAAAAGCTTCTAAGAGCTAATGAAAATTCTAAAGAGGCTCAAAATGAATGGCACGTAGCAGCCTCCTGGTTAATCGTGCTGCTGTGTGCCAGGTTAGACCTGCCAGTCCTAATTGTTTCCTTTTTTCCCCCTTTGGGAAAAATGATGAGATGTAAAATCCTACTAGATAGGAGTACATCTAATAATGCAAAGGGGCAGGACGAGTGGAGGAAGGAGGGGAAAGCCCCAGTGCCAGCCCTGCTGTGGCTCAGTTGGTTTTGTTCTGTGTGAGGCCTTTACTAAGGATGATAAAACACTGGCACAGGTTGCCCAGAGAAGCTGTGGCTGCCCCATCCCTGGAAGTGGCCAAGGCCAGGTTGGATGGGGCTTGGAGCAACCTGGGATAGTGGAAGGTGTCCCTATCCACAGCAGGGAGTTGGACTGAGATGAGCTTTAAGGTCCCTCCCAACCCAAACCATTCCAAGACTCTATGATTTCATGTCTGTTGGAGGCCAACTTCTGTTTGGCTCCAGTGAGAATTAAGCACTTGGGACCTCCAAGAGCAGCTGTAGGCAGAGGTAACCTCACTGCTGCTGTGAGTAAATACAGAGAAAAGTGTGTGTGTATGCATACCCAGATGGGAACAGTCTCCTACTGGAAGTTATTGGATCCATTACTAATGACTGAAATTTATTTAACTTATAATGGTATGTTATTATCACACATGTGACGATTCTCTGGGCTCCCAGAGAATCCCTGCTCCCACCCTGCCATGTCCAAACAGGGTGGGAATCAGGCAGAGCACCATGCTGGAGCCTCTGGCCCAGGGAGCAACAGGAGCTTTCCTTTTATATCTCAGTGATGCATTTGTGCCTTTCAGGCTAAAAATATCTAAGGATGGAGATACAAAGACTCTTCTCTCCTACGTTAAGGTTTTCCTTTATTCCTACATATCTTCTTCCAAGCCCTGTATCCATTATCTGCCTCAGGCTGCCCGTGGGCGCCTGGCAGGCGAGGGATTAGCAGCTCACACCCAGGCAGTGAAAATCCCTCCTTGGAGGGAAATATCCATCCATCACATGAAGTCCCTGGACCAAGACCAAGAACTCATCTGGGGTGAGAGTGTTGAAAAGGCCTCTTCAGCCATGCCAGCTGCCCACATCCTCCTTACTGCTTGGAGCACCCCTGGCAGAGGATGGAGCAGATCCTCATCCCTTCTACTGTCTCCTTCAGGGACAGCAGGTGAGTCACTTCATATCCCTGTGCATCAGTTCTGCCACAGAAAAACACATCCTAAGAAATTACTTCCTTTTTTTTTTTGTTGAGACCAACCCTCTGATTTGAAATACTAGTCTAGGAGAGATAGTGGATAAAGGCAGCACTGACAGGAAGAAGTACTGAGTTTCGGTAAGGAGAAGCACAAAGCATGTTTGGAAAAAAGTTAGAAATGAAGGGGGAAACAAATACCAGGATTGTAGCAGTGAGAAGTTACCCAGGCACCTCAAGCACTGGTGGTGGGAGGACTCTGCAATACACTTACCAAGTTGCTACAAGCACGAATATTATGGAAGCCCTCCAGCAAACACCATGGAATAATTTAATTCATGCTGTAGCACGGAGTGTTTCCGACACTGGTACGGCATCAAATGCCTGAAAATGTGGCTGTTTAAGGCTTTTTACACCCCACTGTCACCCAAGACAGGCCAGAGGGCCCAGCACAAGCCCAGCCATAACCTGTAATCAACAGCTCTCGTGGAGACCTCGCCGGGTGTTCCTGCACCTTCAGAGCACAGGCTGCCAGCTGAGGGAGAACAAAGGCTCCCAGACCCACTTACGGGTGGGTCGACACCCAGGCAGCCCCAGAGCTCGGCCTTCTCCCACAGCAACAGGAACCGAACTCAACTGCCAGGCAGTGGAGCTCGTGGACCAAGGTTGGTGGGCCCTGAGGACAGGGAAGGCACACGCCCAGCCCCACGCCTGTGGAAGGCCAGGGACCCCACAGGAGACCCCCCCGAGTACAGGAGGGTCCCTCCAACTGCCCACTGAGCAGGGGGGATGCACAAAGCCCCACGTACGGGGCTGCCCTCGAGGCCCAGCACTCCCAACAACGGCCTCGTGGCCTTAAGGCCGGGGGGGAAAGGGTCCCAGCCCCAAGGACAGGGGGTCTCGCACTGGCACATCACCAGCAGGACAGGCAGCCCCGCAGCACAGGCACACACCTAGGCCATGGCTACAGGCAGGTCACGGTGCCCGCACCGCCACTAAGGGGCTTCGCTCCAGCCTCAGGAAGAAGGGGCAAGGCTGGGCCCTGTCTCCGCCTGTGGGTTTAGAGGGCACCCCCCTGTTGCTGCACAGAGCCCCTCTTTGCTTCCTGGGAAGTCTAAGCTACACTACCCTCATTTCTACAGGGGCTAAAGGACAAGCCCACTTGCTCACTCCCACAGACAAAGATGAAGACACAAAGGGGGAAGTAATATCCCAGAAGAGGGAGCAAGCTCTGTGCAGGCAACGTGGGGAGCCATCCCTACCTCTGAGCAGGAGAGGAGAGCCTCAGAGCCGCCCCTGGGCTGCACAGAGCCCAGAGGGGCCTCAACACCTGAGAGGATTCACAGCTGGCCACGACACAAAGGCTGTGGCACACCCTGACTGTAGGGGGTCACTCTGGCCAGGGACTGCCAGCAGGCACAAAGGTGCCAAGGGAAGAAGCCCTGCCCTGCTTACAGGGTGGGCTGGGCATCAGGAGAGCTCCATTTCCCCCCTCAGGTGCAGAGATGGGGGTTCTCACCCTCCTTACAGGGTTGCACTGCTCTCTGGGCAGCCAAAGGAACAGAGCACAGCCTGCCTTCAGACAAGGGGGGCAGCCACTGAGTAAATGTCTGTGACGGAAAGAAAGGAAGGAAAACCAAGGGATCTCCTCATGCTGAGTCTGAGTCCGGGAGCTGGTGAAAAGGAAAATAAATGTTTAATAGAGAAAATACAAAGTTCAAATTAGTGTGCCCAGTGGGCCCAACCAGCCTATTCTCCACTGCACACTCCAGTGCACCCAATGTGTTCTCCCAGTGTGTCCAGTGCATGCTCCATGGCAAACTCACTGGGATGGGAAGGGTGCCCCAACAACCTTTTGGGAATCCCACAACAAACTCCTGGGAATCCTTGACAAGCTCCTGCCTGGGTCAGGGCTGCTCGCCCAGGAGGGCTGCACTGCGAGGCCACAGGTAGTTAATTAATTCAGCTTAATTAAGCTCACGATTAGAAGTGAATGATGGGAAGCTGCTGCTTTAGCCCACGAGAGGGCAATGCTTCCCACCCAGTTAGTGGCCACGCTTGGGAAAAGTGGCTTTCTCTGTTTTTAATTAGGAATTGCACGAGTAATTCCTTCTCTTTGGACAGTTTTCCTGAAGGTTTGGGTTGGTTGTTTTCTCACTGGGGCCTAACACCTGACAATATTCTCCTGTGCATCCCTATATTATCGGCTGGAATGCGGGAGATTCGCAATAAAGAGGAGCCGAGCAGGCTGGTAATCCGATCTCCTCTCCCATACAACCTGCCTGCGGAGCCAGGCTGGTGGCCGGGGGGACCTGGCTGTGCCAGGAACAGCAACAACCCAGCTGTGGTGCTGTTGGACAAAGGATGGCCATGGAAAACAGCGAGGAAGGGTTTTCCTGCTTCTCTCAGAGCTGCTGCAGGACAGGGATGCTCCATCAGGGCACACTTGGAGCAGAGTGATGGGCACAACAGCTTCCCCAGTTTAGTCTGTTTTGGATGGGACTTTAAAGTTCCTCCAGTTCAACCCCCTGCCAGGGGCAGAGACACCTTCCACTAGACCATTTGTTCCAAGCCCCGTCCAACCTGGCCTTGGCCACTTCCAGGGATGGGGCAGCCACAGCTTCCCTGGGCGACCTGTGCCAGTGTTTTTCCACCCTCATTTTCCAACCCTTCTCCCTCTTGCAGCTCCCAGGAACCTGTATTTAAATTTTAACCCACGCCCTCCCCTCCCTCTGGAGACAAAATGTATTCCCAAGTGACTCCAGGATCAAAGCCCCACAAGCCGAGGCACGCTGGGGAGCAGGCAAGCCCTTGCAGATGCCAGCCCTGCTCCTACCTCCTAAAATTCCCAGGATAGGAGGGGGGGAACAGCGACGCTCCAACCGCTCCACCACCAGGGATTCCCCACCAACGCGACCTCGCGCGCTCCAATCCCATGGCGCGCACACTTTCCCCACCTGAACCCCTTCCCAAAGACCACCGGCACGCCTGAATCCACCTTGGAACAGGACAAACCGGTTTGGAATTCCACCTGGATTAGGGATACACGAGGCGCGCTCGCTGCCCCGGGTGGCCACGCCCACTACTCTCCCGGACCCGCCCACTCCCGCCCGGCCCCGCCCCGCCCGCGTGGGGCGGGGCCGGGCGGGAGTGGGCGGGTCCGTGGGTGGATGTGGGCGTGGCCTCATCGCGGTGGGCGGAGCCTGCGCGCCCGCTCCGGTCGCCCGTGGAGACACCGGGAGCGGCGGTGGGTGAGTACCGGGATACTGGGACGGGAAGGGGGGGGTTGGGGGTCCCACCGGGAATACCGAGCTCTGCCGCCTGGGACGGGCTGTGCGCGGAGCCGGCGGAGCAGCGGGAAGCGGCGGCCCGACCCTTCTTTTGCTGCTGGGCCTGGCGGGGCGGGCTGGGCCCGAGCGGTGCCTGGGTGCTTAAAAGTTTTTTTATTTTTTTTTGGTTGCTTTTTATGGTTTTCCCCCCCTCCTTTTCCTGCCGTCCAGAGGGAAGTTCCCGGTGGGGAGGCAGCGCGCGGTTTGTGCTGCGGTTCAACAAGTTGCGTGCGGTTCCGGAGTGGGTCGAAATCTGCTTAATCGTGTAAAAACTAATCTGCCTAATTATGTAAAAATGATACTAAAATAGGCGGTTTTCCTCGGGGACAGCGTCGCACGGCCTTCCCGCCTCCTTCCTGCCTCCTTCCCTCCATCCAGCCCTTCCCCATGGCACTGATGGATACCCAGAGCTGGCAGCTCCAACTGTACCAGGGCAGCTTCAACTTTCAGCTAAATCTTCTAAATTTTACCAATTTTAGTATTCCCAGCCGTCAGGCGATGAGGTTTTCCTTGGAATCACAGAGCTCTGCTTGACGGAGGAAGTTTCCCACGTGTGGGGAGTTGTGGGATGAGTGTGGGAAGAAGGTTAATTAGTGGGAAGCGTCATTAGTCGAGGAGGTTTCGTGTTGATACTAAGATTACACACCCTGTTGCAGTAACAAGTTTACTGAGAATCAGGGAATTGCAGAATATCCTCAGCTGGAAGGGACCCACACAGATCATCCAGTGCAGCTCCTGGAACTTTAATACTTTAATAACTTTTAAATTGCAGTACTTTGTTCCAAGCTTAAATTCTGTACGTTTTGAGGGGGTAGGAATGGGTGTTTTGAGTGGATATTGTGATTTTAGCCTGGTGATTTTGGGAAGGAGGAGCCAGCAGGAATGACTGGAGCTGTGTCAAGGGGGACTGTCAGGAAAAGGTTCTTCCCCCAGAGGGTGGTTGGGCACTGAACAGGCTCCCCAGGGCAGTGGTCACAGCACCAAGGCTGCCAGAGCTCAAGGAGTGTTTGGACAATGCTCTTAGGGACAGGGTGGGGTTGTTGGGCTGTCCTGTACAGGCCAGGGGTTGGACTGGATGGTCCTTGTGGGTCCCTTCCAAATCAAGATACTCCATGATTCTGTGATTTAATTTGATTAGTGTGGCACCTTAAATGGAATTCACAGCGATTTGCCAGGCAATTATCTGGTGTTTTTATTGGCTTAGAGGTCACAGCATCATGGACATGTTACTTGTTTGTGTTTATCTGGGCTGTAAATTGGGTTAGAAATACATTTCTGTGAGTAAAGGCCGAGTAGTGGACAATGGGAGGATTTGATGTTTGATGCTACTCCAGTGCCACTAAATGAGATTGAGGGATTAGTATGAAGTTAATGACTTCTCAATCCCGTATTTCATCCCGGCGTGGGATGGATTGCAGGATATCTTTAATCAAGGACTAAAGCAGCAATAAACTCCAGAGAGAGCAGTGGATGAGGTCTGGTGCTGGGGGTGAGCTTGTTTCCTAATCACCCAGCCGATGGATGATTTTTCCTTAAAAACAAACCTCTCCTGTTATCCTGGAGGAGTTTCCTGGGCTCACAGACAGCAGAGCCACTACCAGCATCTCTCATCTCATGGTGGTGTTAAATCCAAATATTGAGTTGTGCTGTAGGTTTCAGATACTTCTTTTATTTGAAATATAATGTCTCTTTGGCTATATAATAACTTTTTAAATGAGTACTGAAAGTTCTTAATTTCTTAGGCTCTGTTCCTCAAAAAAGACTTGGAATATTTGAGCCAGATATACAACAAATTCTCTGTAGAAAGGCATGGGATGAATTATGGAATCCCAGAATGATTTGGGTTGAAGGGACATTAATGCCCATCCAGTCACACCCCCTGCCATTGGCAGGGACAATCCACCAGGTTGCTCCAAGCCCCATCCAACCTGGCCTTGGACACTTGCAGGGATGGGACAGCCACAGCTTCTCTGGGCAACCTGTGCCAGGGCCTCCCCACCCTCACGGGGAAGGATTTCTGCCCAGTATCCCATCTAAACCTGCTCTCTGGCAGTACGAAGCCATTCCCCCTTGTCCTGGCACTATCTGCCCATTTAAGAAGTCACTGTCACTCCTTCCTATATGGCTCCACTTTCCCTGTAAGTGTTGCTGGAATGCTGAGTGGAAGATGCTGAACACGGCTCTGCCCAGTGGGAATGTCCTTCCTCCCCAGAAACAGCTTCCCAAGTCCCAGTGCATAACCCTCTGATAGGATCTGTTGCAAAAGCAAATCTAAATTGCTCCAGAAGTCTGTCGTACAGCCCCATAAATCCTCCCCCTCAGCCCTTTCCCTTTGTCCCCTTTGCCAGAGCAGAGATCATCTCAGGGAACAGAGGGAATACTTTCCAAGGGGTGTATAGTTAGCATGGGAAATACCACCACAGCCCTGGCTGAGGCTTGGAGCGGTATTCCAGGGAGGATTGTGTTGCTGCAACTTCATCTGTGCTTACACAAACCATGGGAGTGGGTGAAGGCTGCAGGTCTCATGTCCTCGCATAGAAATACCCTTGTGCAAAGGTAGGAATTGTAGTGGCACTTCCAGTAGCTGGGATGGAATGGGAAGCAAGTCCCCCTAGATCCTGAGGGTCGTTGTGGTCTTGCTATTTCTTGGGAAATGGAAGCTGCAGATGTTTGGTGACCCTCGGGATTTGCTCCACATTAATCACTGCTGGAATTGGGCAGCTCTTTGCTGAATTGTGCAATATTGCACTACTGGGTCTCAGTTTTCTTAACCTCAGTGTTCATCCCATGGTCAGCGATGGGGGCTCCTCTGGATTGACATCAATTCTTGCTCCCAGGAATAACCTGGGGGGAAACTTGGAAGGGAAGGAGAAGAGAAAATAGTGTTGAGAGAAGCAAAAAGTTTTCACTCCATGTTTTGCAAGGACTGATGAGAAGCAGCAGAAAGAGCAGAGGCAGTGACTAAAGTCCTGTGGTGACTGAGCTATGGTAGGATTTTCCATGGGATTTTATGGAGGTAGGTAGAAGCAGGAAGGTGAAGGGAGCAGTGAGGATACCCAGGGGAGGTGGAAGCATGGTGAGGGTAAATCCATCTCCTGGCACAGGTTGCCCAGAGAAACTGTGGCTACCCCCTCCCTGGAAGTGTCCAAGGCCAGGCTGGACGGGGCTTGGAGCAACCTGGGATAGTGGAAAGTGTCCCTGCCCATGGCAGGGATGGGACTGAATGGGCTTTAAGGTCCCTTCCAAACCAAACCAGTCTGAAATTCTGTGAAAACAAACCTGGGCTGCAGTGTACCCCAAATCCAAGCTCCTTGGTTCCTGAGACCCCAGCCAGCCTGGGTGTGGGTGGATCGGAGCTTTAGGATGTTCACGGACACCAACAGCTGTGTATTTTTAGTTGTGTTCCCTTGAATATTTGGTAAAACAGGCAGTGTGTTTATATTCAGCTTCCTGTGTCCGTATCAGTGTCTTGGCATGTGATGGAGTTACAGAGGGAGGAGGGAAAAGGAAAAAAGTGTGTTATGAGGATTATTTGTATTCCAGCCGCTGTCGACGGCGGGATGTGGCTGCTGGGATCATCTCCTTGTTTAAACATTCAGCTCAACTCAGGCAGGATCCGGACTTGCTCTCCCTTTGTTTACACCATTTTTTTTCCCATCCCTTCTCCTGTGTCTTTCCAAACCTTCTGTACAGGGACAGGTCACTTTTTGATACGGTCTGGTTTGGGACATACACATAATCTGAACCTTCGTTCACTCTGACACAGGGCATCAACTCCGAGCCCTTGCTCACTGTGTGGGTACTAATCCTCCAACACCAGCTCTCAGAATGTTTGGAGATGGAAAAGCCCATCGTTGTTCTGGTTGGAAGGGAGCAGCCTGCTTGCCAAGCCTGTTTCCCCAATCCAGGCTGCTCTGGCAGCCCACAATCCAATGCTGGTGATGCTCTGTGGAATCACCCCTTTGTTATCCATAACCATTCCTTGACTGGGGGCAGTGGGAGCAAATGAGGGAGATTTTTGCCTGATTTTCCTCTCTAAATTATGGCTTTCCTTGTGTCAAAGCTCCCTCAGAGCACAAATCCAGAAAGTTTTCTGGTGGTTTAAGTTGAGGAGAGCAAAATCCTCCCTCCTAGTTTCCATCAATGTGATAAGGGGTTGCTCTAGGACCCAGCACTGCCCTCACAGCCTGAACCAGGGATGGTGTGGGATATTCTCAGGAGGGACTGGTGGGTGTCGGAGAAAGGGAAAAATATGGGCTGAAAACCAGGAAAAACTGCTGTGCCTACGGAAGCTGCAGGTCTGGCTTGCGGAGCAGGAACTTGCACAGGAAGGGTTGGAAAGCTCTGGAAGGAGGACTTGGTGGTGACAAGGGGTGGCCCTAAGAGAAGAGGCCTCCTTCGGCAGAAACAGCTGAACATTCTGATTGTTTATACATTGAAGTTTTAATTTGAAATTGGTTGTAATGTTTCCAGCAGGCCTTTCCTGGGCTGTCTGTCCCTTACTGGGTATGTTTAAATGTCTGTCCTCTGTTGTTATTTGAGCTTCAGTTTGCTCAGTGACTGAGATGCTTGATGTGAGTATCTTCCCAGTTCATGGAAGAAAAAGAGGTTCTTTTCTGTGTCATTAATCATACTGATGATTAGCCAGAGTACTTCCAGAAGATTTCCTTTCTGTTTGTTAAAATAAAATCAAGCAGTTACCAAATAAAATCAAGCAGTTACCAAAGGCATTTATGATAAATTTTGTACTGCCATATTGCAGCATGAAGTGCAAAAAATTCAGTTCCAGGGCAGGTTTGGGTGAGATATTAGGGATAAATTTCTTCCCTATGAGGGTGGTGTGGCCCTGGCACAGGTTGCCCAGAGAAGCTGTGGCTGCCCCATCCCTGGAAGTGTCCAGGGCTGGGTTGGATGGGGCTTGGAGCAACCTGGGGTAGTGGAAAGTGCCCATGGTAGGGGGATTGAATGAATGAGATGAGCTTCCTCCCAACCCAGTCTGGGATTTTGTGGTTGCTGTGAGTAAATTTGAGCAGATCCCAAATTGCATTTTCATCTCTGTAGCTTTGAGTCAGGTTTTTGGTCTAAGCTTGGAGCTGGGATAAGGAGAAAGTGTCACTGATGATTTTGGGAGATGGATCATCTTTCTCCTAGCTGACTGTGGTTTATGTTGCTGTAAACCTTGCAAGGGATCCATCCTGCACAGCAGGGATGCTCCAGCTGGAGCTGCCTGCCAGGGCCCACAGAGCAGGAGGACTCAGGTTGGCACTGCCGGCCTTGGCTGGAGGGACTGGGAACCATCCAGCCATGGAATTTTCTCATCTCTCTCCCACATGTCCTTCCCTGATTTATTCCTTCCCCAGCATGGCCTGACCTCTGAATGCAGGATTTTGGAGGGATGCATTACGCCGGCCTCAAACTATGCCAGCAATGTCGGGTTTGTGGGTTTTTATGGCTGGTTTGATTGGAGCTTTGATTAGGCAGGAGTATGGAGTCTCTGTAGCTCTGGGGAGGGAAGTGACCCCGGGAGCCAGAGTTAGTTTTCAGATGCGTTTAAAACTGAGGTTGGACTGGATCCCTGAAGGTCTCTCCCAACCCAAACCTTTCCGTGTGGTCTGTGATTGTTTTGACTGTGTTTTGATCTCCCTCAGGATGCACAAGTCAATATTGAAATTTTTCTTATTTTTCCTTAACAATTTTCAGGGTGAATGAGCAGAATGAGAACTTGCACAGATAAGCAAAGCAGCATTTTTTCCATTAAACTTTGATTTTACGCAGCAGTCACATGTCTGTGAAGGAGTTTACGTGTGACATTTATTTTTGTTTCCTTGCTGGATGTGAACAGGACAAGCCTGGCACAGGGACAAGGAGTGGCTGTGGCAAGACAGTCTCTTTTTTAACACAATTTACTTTCCCCCTCCCTACAGTGATTTTAACAGCACCTATTAAAATGTGATCCTGTTTCCAGCACAGGAAGTGGCATGTGATTATAAAGGGGACACTGCCCGTTCTGCCTGCCACCTCCCTGCCTTGCTAAGGACAATCCCTTGGGAACTTTTGGTGGTTTTTTGTCTCCTTATTTCCTGGGAATGAGGGAGCTGCGTTGCTGTGGCTTTTCCAAGCCCGTCGTAGCTCATGGTGTGACTTGGGCGGGTGTGGAGCGGTGCCAGGGCTTGGTGCCAGAGCTCCACCAGTCCTTGGCAACTGATGGTTGCTTTCCCTCCAAAGAGTGTCCGTGGCAATCCTGGATCCTGCCGTGCCCTGCTTAATGAGGTATCCATGCCCTGGCTCCTCTGCCAGCTCAGCAAATGCCCGGAGCCTCCAATCTGAGCTCTGCAGTGCAGGGACAGTGGGTGTATCTGCAGGGGCACAGAGGTGTGTGAATGTGCAGTAGGAATTCCAGGAAAGGGGAACAGAGTGATTGCCAGCCTGTTTTGGATTATCAACCACTGGATTTAGAACCTACTGTGTGTATTTGCACACCTGTATGGGGATTACAATGAATGGGCTTCCAGCAGCAGCACAACCAGGAGAGGAAAAGAAAATTTTACTTGTAAATACGGTCCCTGCTCCAGAATTTTCACCACCTTATGGTTTGTATCACCGTCACAAGCTGGGAGACCTGGGGATGTTCACCTGGAGAAGAGAAGGCTCCAGGGAGACCTTAGAGCCCCTTCCAATGCCTAAAGGGGCTCCAAGATAACTTTTTAGGTCAAGGGCCTGGGTGGACAGGTCAAGGGAGAATGGCTTCCCGCTGCCAGAGGTCAGGATTAGATGGGATATTGGGAAGGAATTGTTCCCTGTGAGGGTGGTAAGACCCTGGCACAGGTTGCCCAGAGAAACTGTGGCTGCCCTTGGATCCATGGAAGTGTCCAAGGCCAGTTTGGGTAGGGCTTGGAGCAACCTGGGATAGTGGAAGGTGTCCCTGCCCATGGCAAGGAGTGGAACTGGATGGATTTTAAAGGCTTCTTCCAACCCAAATCATTCCATGATTCTCTTTCACCTGTAGCATCAGGGCAGCCAACTTGGTCTGTGTTTGTGTTGTAGGTGGATTGTTTAAAAAAATAAACCCTTTGGATCTCTCCGATCTCTTCGGTTCGCTGGTTTCTGTTCTCAGCAATGCCAAGTTGTGCTTGTCAAGTGCCCAATTCCACTGTCATTCATGGCCAACACTCCTAAAGAATTTCTGCCCTCATTGAATTGTCATTGAATTGTTATAGTTCAAAATTATAATTTTTTAAAATAAAAATTTAGGAACATTGTTAAATATGCTGTGCTCTGGATTTACCAGTCTTGCAACAGTGAACAGGATCTGGTACTGGAATTTGTATGTTTTTGGACTCATATAATTCCAGAGTTTTTTCTGGGTATGTAAAGGCCTTCGTAGGGAATGTGGGCAGTCAGATTTGTTTCTCCAGGGATTTAAGCTCAGCTGCTGGAATATCTCAGTGAAGGTTTACAGCTCAGAGAAGTCTCCAGGGGCAAAGTAATCCTGGAACAGTTTGGGTTGCAGGGGGCCTCAAAACTCATCCTATTCCACCCCCTGCCATGGGCCGGGACACTTTGCACTTGACCAGGTTACTCTAAGCCCCATCAACCTGACCCTAAACATTTCCAGGGATGGGGCAGCCACAGGTTCCACATGTGCTCAACACTGGCTACGGTGGTGCTTAACTAAACCTGCTCTGGGTTTTACTCTGAGTAGTTAAACTTGTTTTAAAGGCAGTGGCTTTTCCAGTAGCTGCCTCTAGACTCACCTGCCCCAGGTCTGGGTGGGACCTGTCCCTTGGAGCGTGGGCTCCAGGAGGAGCCGTGCTGGCAGCACCCAAATCTGTGTAAACTTGTTCCCTTCATTCCCATCTGGGAGGAGGCCAGAGGGAATTGGGCGCCCGTGGCAGTGTCCTTGAGAAGGGAAGTAGGGAAACTGGCAATAAGAAAGGTCTGAGGTAGGTTTTCCAGCCAGGCCAATCTCAAAATACTGTAAGTTTTGTGACTAGAATTAAACCACAAGTGCCAAACTCCCTTAGCTTTGGCTTTCTTGCACTATAAAGTCCTTATAATTTTTATTTTACTCTGTTTCAGGATCATTACACCGATAAAATCAAAGCAAGCCGGACAGGTAGCAAGTCTGCCTATGTAGGTGAGTTTCCAGTCCACTCTTGTTCCTTCCTTTCATAGAAAATATAAAGCAGCACAACAAGTCCCAAACACCAGTGATTTAATTTTATTCTGGAGCAAAACAAATAAAAAATGCTTGGCAGCTTTGTGGAGGAGAGCTACAAGGACAGCACCAGCTTGGTGTTGGCAGCACTGGTTCCTCACACTATTCACCTCAGGTTTTTAACTGAGTTGAATTTAGGGGGCACCTAAATTCTCACCTGCTTCTCCCCAGGAAATTAGGCTTTTCCTTGTTTATTCCCCCAGTAAGGAAGGGGCAACATGCAAGTCTTCATCATTTCTGCCTCTGCTGTGTTACATGCATTTTGTTTGACCATGTCATCATGCAAATTCTTCCTGTATTCACCCCGTCCTGAAAAATAGGTGCTTTGATACATTCTTGTAGCCAAGAAGCTGGTGAAATCCTTTGCACCCTTCCAGTTCTTTGAGCTGAGCCCTAGAGAGCTCTTCCCAGAGCATCTCCTGCCTGTGTCCTCGGCTTTATCTCTTGCAGACGAAGGAATTTGCTGAAGGTCACAGAACCTGAGGCCAAGCTGCATCCCGTGACTCTCAGTCTGGAGCTTTAATCACAGACCACTCCTGCTTTACATGCTGTAAGAGGAGCTGATTTTGATACAGCTACAAGTCTCTTTGCAAATGTCTCTTTGTAGTTTGCCCGTCTTTCCTGGTGGGATTTAGCTGGGGAGTGCCCTGTGGGGAAAAACAGGGACCTTCTGTGGATAAACTGCCCTGCGGTTCATTGTCTTTTCCGATGGCTTCAGGCTGATGTCTTTAAAATAATATGGCTCAGATGTTTTTCAAAGGAACCTTGATCTAGAAGCCACTTTTCATGGCTTTCATGTATACTAAAGATACAAAAAGTTAAGTCAGAAAAAAGTGCAGAGGAAAACAAAAGCAGGTTTTTCCACTACTCATCTCTGAACATGTACATTGGGTTTGACAGAGTCACATCATGAAGACTGACTTTGAAAATCAAACAGAACTGTAGCCCAGGTTTGATCAGCAGGATGGCACTGCAATAACTTGTGGGATGGAGGTTATGAAGGAACACAACCTTAATTAAACAGCCCAGAAATCCAATTGATCGTCTTGGGAGTTGTCTGTTTCCTTTCATTTCACATTATTTAATGGTTTTTAATCCGTTTCAAAAGGACTAATTAAGACACTGACAGCATTGTTTATAAGTGAAAAAAAGATCTCCACTGTAAAATCTCTCAGTATTCCCAAGTGTAAATTCTCTGAAGAAGGAAACATCAGAAGGGAGTGTTCTGTGTTCTATGGGGCTTTTATTCTCCATCTGCACTGATGGGCTGCTCACCCACCTCTGTGTAAGCCAGGTGTATCTGTGTGCCCAGGCTTCGTATTGCTAACCCAGCCCTGAATCCTGCACCTCTTCTGAGAGGAGCATGGAAGCAGAGTTTGTCATTGCTGTACCATTTCTGCTGTAAAAGTGGTTATGAAATCTGGGGCCCATGATCCCTTTGGCTGTGGTGCTGTGCAGGGTGTGCATCCCAAAGCACTCACATCCTTCCCTAAGTCCTGCAGCTGCCACATGTTTCAGGTTCCCTGCGTCATAGTGTGGACCCTCCAGTACGTGAAGCAGTTAGTTTTGTCTGGGGAGTTTCTTGTTTTCCTTTACCTAACCCAAACTTTTTCTAGTGTGTATAAAATATTTATGCTGTGATTTTAACTCTTCCTTGATACCTATTTAAAAATCCAGTCCTTCTGACCTGTCAGGAACCAGGGAGCTACTCCTCACAGTTTGGTTTGTGGTAGGTGTGGAGTGGGTGCAGAAACCTTCTTCTAGCCCCAGATGATCCATCCCTGTGATGGGAGCAGCTCCTGCAGGCACTGGAGCCATGGCCTTGGCTGGGGCTGTGCTGAGGGAGGACAAGGGAGCAGGGGCCTGGTATCCCTGGAGCCAGTGGGGAAGTTGTGGGTGATTCCTGACACTGCTTTTCCTGGGAAGTTTGCACTGTGGGTGCTGTGTTCAGTCTGCAAAGTGCACAAGTGGCTCCAGGTCCTCCTGGGTAACTCTGATGTGTCCCACCACCTTGTTGTCCATCCATCATGTGGGGTATAAGGATCATGGAATCACAGAATGGTTTGGGTTGCAAGGGACAAAGCCCATCTCATTCCACTCCCTGCCATGGGCAGGGATACCTTCCACTATCCCAGCTTGCTGCAAGCGCCATCCAACCTGGCCTTGGACACTTCCGGGATGGAGTATCCTAAAAAGAGAAATTACACAAAAGCACGTCTAATCCTTCTTTTCTTTTACCACTGAGTTCTATTTTCCTGCAGAGGGCAGGACTCTGGTGTTTTCCAGCTGCCCAGGTTTATTTTCCATTCTCCTTGGTAGTGTGGCAGAAGGAAATGATTCCAGCACTGGTGTTTCCACTGGGTGTCAGCACGGCCCCGTTCAGGGATCGGGCCAGCAGAGCCCTGCCAACCCTGGGCTTTCCCTTTGGCTGCACCCACCACTGGAAAAACGAGGTTGGCTGCATTTCCAGAGCAGGGTTTTCGAGGATGGGCTCACCCTGCGCAGGCGCCGAGGCTGAGTGAGCCGGGAAGGGGCTGTTTTGCTGGAAGTGCTCTTTCCTTCTCGGAGCAGAGCAACCGGTTGGAGCAGGAGGAGTGTGGAACGTGCCTGGCTCGTTCCTGTGCTCTCTAATTAGGGTTACAGCTGGGACAGTGGGTCCCTGGTTCTGGCAGAACAGCGTGGAGAGCTTTTGTAGTATTTATAGTGTTTCTGTGGAAGCTGTGGGTGTGATAAGGAGCGTTCTCAGAGAGCAGCTGAGAAAGCAGGGACTCGCATGCAGGGTTGGTGGGTGACAGGTCAGGGCTGCTCACCCTCCTCCCTCCATGCCAACCCTTCCACTTCTTTTCCACATGTATTGCACATCCAGGCTTCCCAAGTCCTTTGCAAAACCCTTGGGCCTGCTGCCTGTCCTGCCAGGCCGAGGTACCTCCTTTCAGCCCCCAACTCTGTCCACATTGGCAGGGAAGCAGCCCCCCCCAAGGGCACTTTTGGTTTCAGGTGGGCAGAGGCATCCCCTGGATACTTCTTCCTCTCACCTGCTGCTGCCATTGGGGACCCTGTGCCTCTCCCACCCTCCCTGTGGGTCACCTCATGCCAGGTGCCCCTGTGTTCCAGGGTGTGCAGGATCTGGGAGGGGACATGTCAGCACTTGCTGGGACGCCAAATGCTCTGCAGCACATGTTGGCAGAAGGCAGTACCAGGCACACTGAGATTCCTCCAACACATTCTTCCATTGGGGACCTAAATATTTAAAATTCAAGGCTATGAAGTATCGCAAATACAGATTATTGCTTGTGTGCAACTGTTTCATCTGTTGCTGTACCTGGTTGTGCTCTGGTGTGCCCTCAGAATGGATTGGTTTATTTCTGCACCCAGCTTTAATGGCAGCATTGGCCTCTTGCCTTGGATTGGGAGAGTTTTTGGTTCTGCAAGTTGTAACAAACCTGCTTCTGAGCACCCTGTAGTAAAACCAACCTCCAGCATTCAAGTCCCAACTGGCTTCCAGCCCTCCTGCTCTCACATAAGCTCCTGGGAAAGTGGCACGTGCAGGAACCCACTAAAACCTTACCCCATGTCCTGCCCCTGCACATGGGAGAGGTGCTGGAGAGGGGCTGTGGCATCACCCCCTCCTTATGCTACCCCTCCAGGGGCCATCGTGGCTCTTCTTCCCCACTCTCCGTGAGGACTGGCCTTGTCTGATGCCTCTCCATGCTGTTTGCAGCTCCTCTTCCTCTTGCTTCCCTCTTCCTCCTTCCAACCACCTTCCTGCCCAACAAATCTCTGCATTTTCAGAAGCAAAATTGACTTTAAAGCTCCTGGGTTTTTATTCCTGAGAGCTCTGGAGAGTGTGAGCCAATAAGAGGAGGCAGCTGGATCTGGGGTTCCATGGTGTGTTATTCCCAGATTGTTGGCAGAGTCCCAGCTGAAGGCAGCGGGGTGAAGGGATGCCAGGGAGGATGGTGTGGGGAATAAAATGGTTTTCAGGCAGGGCTGTGGGGCATTAATCAGAGCCTGTATTAGTGGTGGTGATGCACAAACCAGATCCAGCTTAAAATACTTCCAGCAAAGACCAGGGAAGTTGCAGGGCTGGAAACAGTTTCACTTGTAAACCTGCAGAGTTCTTTGTGGAATCCTGAAACCCTAAACACAGTGTCCTGGGATACCATGTGATGGTGGGTTTGGGGCAGAAATGCCAACTGGCACCTCTGAGCAGCTCCTCAGGAAGTGTTTGCTTCCCTGTGTTGGGAATAGAGCAGCAGCCATGCCTGGCATGAGCTTGCCCCCCAGCTCAGGGCAGGGAATGAGCTGGAGCAGCTCTGGACTTCTCCAACTGCTTTTTTTCCCTTCTTTTTTCCTCTATTCCTGTGTTTTTAGGAACAAAGCAGAACAATTTCCACAGTGGTGCTTGTTTCTAGTTTATCCAACAGGCTTAAGTGGGCAGAAGCATCCAAACATTCCATGTGGGAGCAGCAGCAGTGGTGACTCCCTGGGGTGCTCTTTCCCTGTCCCATGGGCAAGGCATCCAAACCAAGGGTGAGGGGGGTCAGGGGGTCATCCTGACAAGGGTTTGGATCACCTTGTGTCCTTCTTTTCCTGCTGTTTCCTTGCTGAATTTGGAGCATGCCCAGCCCAGAGGCATTTCCACCTCACTGCCCTGTGTCCTCCGCAAGCAGGACTGTGGCTCTGAAAGTGGAGAGGCCTTTGAAACCTACATTTGCAGATCAGCTGTAACTTTAGATCTGTGCTGACCCCCAGCTGTGAGCTGGCACCCTGGAAAACCAGGGTCTGGAAAACCAGCGGCTGGAAACCAGCAGCTGATGGGGTGTTACTGTGTAGATGCTGTAGTTGTCAGTTTATGTTTTGTTCAATCCATTCTGTGGTTTTACAGTTTTGAGTTATTCACCTTAAAAGCTGTTTTATTTCAAAAGAAACAGTAACAAGACACCTTTTCACTCTTTTGAGCCTTCGGCACTCCAGTATGGGCTGGCTTTACATAACTGGAGCAAACTGGGAGCTGTTTGCCAGGCAGAGCTGCTGGGGGATTCCTGGCCTTGCTTTAGCAGTGGTGATTTAATTACCTTTCATTCAGCAGGTGCTGTGTAAGTCCTAGATCTAAAAGAGTTAAAAAGATAGATTAGGGTTTAATAATCCCATTGGAGCTGAAATTCAAAGCTCAGATGAGGTGGATCTGGGGACCTGCTGCATGGTCATCTTGTTACCTAAAGCCTGTCACAAAAAACAGAGCAAGGCCTGGAAAAACAGGGGTTTTCTAGGGAAGAGGGGCAGCTTCACCCATTTGAAGGTATTTCAAGAAAGCAAAACATGCAAGTGTGTGGCCTACAGGAATTACACTGGAGGATTCATGTGTTTTTCCCTTTCACTGGCAAAGTGCAGTTGGTGAGCATCCAGCTCGTCTGAACAAACACTGGCCTCAGTTTTCCATAGTTAAATTAGGAAGAAATCCTTCCCTGTGGGGGTGGTGAGGCCTTGTTACAGGTTGCCCAGAGAAGCTGTGGCTGCCCCATTGCTGGAAGTGTCCAAGGCCTAGTTAAACAGGGTTTGGGGCAAACTGGTCTAGTAGAAGGTGTTCCTGCACATGGCAGGAGGTGATGGCCAGAGAAGCTGTCGGTGGGACTGATTCTTTTGTCTCATTTTAGTTTGTGAGTCAGAGACAAGCACGAGTTGCAGCCATGCCCACGTCTGCTCTGGGGTTTGGGAATCTCTGGCACCACCAACCTTGGATCCAGCAAACCTTCATTCAGCTTTGTCATTTGTCACCATAAAATCATGGAAGGGTTTGGGTTGGAAGGGATCTTAAAGCCCATCAAGTTCCACCCCCTGCCATGGGTAGGGACACCTTCCACTATCCCAGGTTGCTCCAAGCCCCGTCCAACCTGGCCTTAAATACCAATGTGTTTTGTCTTAAGTGGGGAGTGGAAAAACTTGTTGGAAATTTGTTTTGGTCCCTTTAGCACAGAATGAATAGTCATGACTGTAAGTGCTGGAACAGGAGAAATCCTGATGGGAAAGTGTTGGAATGAGTCAGGCTCTTGGGATATCTTTGCTTTTGGCTCAGCCTGCTGAGCATGAGGATTCGTTTCCTAGAAATCGGAGCAGTGCCCTCTCCGACCACATGGTCATTTCTTTAGAGATTGACTTCATTCCCTTGGGAGACTTCCTTATCTCAGAAAACCCTGCCCACAGCTCCAAGGGCACAAACCCCCAAGTTCTGCAGAGCTGTGGACACCACCAATTTAAATCTGAGGAGTTTCCTGAAGCCCAGTGCGTCCTGGGGGAAATCCAGTGGCTCTGGGAGGCCGCAGCAGCTTGGATCAGTTGCCAGGAACTCAGAGGGAAAACAGTATTATTGGGTGCTGACCTAGTTGTTTGTAAATCTCTCTGTAGAAGAGATTTAGTGATCTTAGGAGGAGTATTAAGGCTTGTGTTTGTTTGGAGATGGGGAAATGCAGCAATTTAATTTTCAAATGTTATGGTTTGGGCTGCATTTTCTCTTTTTTTTTAAAGCATCTAATTTATTAACAAAGCTAACAGCTGGGAAAATAAGCACTGGAACTTTCCTAAGGAGGTCATCCATGGAGATTGGAAAGGGATCCAGAGCTTCAAACCTCTCCAGTTGAAAAAAGGGGTTTGGGGCTGAGGAAGGGAACACTGGTCTTGCCCCAGTAAAACAAGAGGAGAATTGTTTATGTTTTAATTTTGCAATAATTTTTTAAACCTTATGTCTTTTTTTTTTTGTTTTTTAAGTACTAAAATTACAGGAATTAGAAAATTCTGAGCTATCTTCTCAGAGCTGCATGCATTACTTGATAAAAATTAATTGCTTTGGATTGGGTTTTTACACCATAGTTTTTCAATATAGTAAGTGAAAACTGCAGGGACTAAATTAGCCCAGTGCTAAATGTCCAAGGCCAGGCTGGACAGGGCTTGGAGCAACCTGGGATAGTGGAAGGTGTCTCTGCCCATGGCAGGGGGTGGAACTGGATGAGCTTTAAGGTCCCTCCCAACCCAAAGCAGTTGGAATCCTATGATTCCATGAGTGCTGTGTCCTGGGCTAAGCCCGTGCCATAGCGGGAATGCTACAGAAGAAAAATTCTGTTGGCTTTTTTAATTTTGCATGAATTTCCTTCCATGGGTGGTGAGCAGTGAATCCTCTGTGACTCACTCCATAAGTGACCTCTCTGGACGACAGCTTGGCAGATATTTTTGGCCCATGAGGTGTTTGTGGGGAGCTGGGGCAGCACAGGACTGACACAGACCAGGGGTCAGGTGGTTGCAGAGGCAGAACATCCATGGATCCACATGGATCTGCAGGAGCATATTCTTAATATTTGCTTTAGGAAATAAGGTTTTTTTATTGATACCAAATGTCAGGTGTGAATGTCCCTCCTACCTGCGCCTGAGCAGGTGGTGTTACCTGTCACTTAGCATTTCCTCTGCCCAAAGCTTTTCCAAGAATTTTCCCCCCAAAATGGGGACTCAGAGCAAGATAATGTTGTTCTCAACTAGCTGGGCAGGCATGGGCACTGCCTGGAAAACAGCCCTGCTCTGCAGGCTGAGGTGAGAGAAACTTGAATCCTGCAGGAACCGCTGTGGGCAGCACTTGGAAAGGTCACACAGAGCCATGTTGGACTTGGGTCACTGTAATGCCATAAATGATTCAAGCACAGCCCCATGGAGCCAATTATCCATGTGGAGCTGTGGAAAACAAGCAGCAGGGCTTGTGTAGAGTCCTCTAGAGACTGTGACACAGGACAGTGACACGGGCAGGGCTGGTCCAAACAGTCTCTTTGGGCACCTGGAGACCTGAATAACTTGGAGTCATAGGCTGGTTTGGGTTGGGAGGGACCTTAAAGCTCCTCTTGTTCCACCCCGTGCCATGGGCAGGGACACCTTCCACTAGACCAGGTTGCTCCAAGCCCTGTCCAACCTGGCCTTGGACATTTAGCACTGGACTAATTTAGCACTAAGCTCTTGGCTGCTGCCATGCCTGTAGGGATATCCTTGGGAATGCAATGCTGCACAGTCCTCAGTCTGGGCTGCAGGTGGGTGTCTGCTCCACCATGAGCCTCCATGAAACAGTCAGGGATGCTGAGATCAGCCTGGGCCATGGATAGTATTTCTTCACAGAAAGGCTTGTCCAGCCCTGGCACAGCTGCCCAGGACAGTGGTGGAGTCCCCATCCCTGGAGGGATTGAAAATCCATATGGATGTGACACCTGGGGACATGGGTCAGTGGTGGCCTTGGCAGTGCTGGAAGACAGTTGAACTCGATGGTCTGAGAGGGCTTTTCCAACCTAAATGATTCCATGGTTCTATCCTGGCTCACTCCTTGCTCTTTGGTGGGTTCAGGAGCAAGTCTCCTTCCATGGTCCAACTCTCAGGGAAGCACGGGGATCCTCGTACACACTGGGCTCTCCTGGAAGCCCATGGGGAGCTGCAAATGGGAATCAAGCTGCCAAAGCTGTGCTGGAATTGCTGCTGGACCAGCCATGGCTCTGCCCATCCTCCTCACTGCCACTGGCTCAGCCAAGGGGCAGAAACCTGCACAGAAGCTCCATGCTTTTTTTTTTTTTTTTTTTGAGGATGTTTTACTTCCAGAGCTGTTTCTCAACTGCCTGGTCCTGTTGGGTGTCTTAATAACATAAAAAAAAAAAAAAGCCCTTTTTGCAACGTGTCATGGATGCCTCTTTGTAAAAGCTGTTTAAGGTGCTGTGCCACCTTCTGGAAAAATAACCTGCTGTCTTTCCAAACAGAACTTCCCTGCTCCACTGAAAATGTCTGGCAAAACAGCCACCACGACCAACAACATTGCTCAGGCCCGAAGGACTGTGCAGCAGCTCAGGATAGAAGCCTCAATAGAGAGGATAAAGGTGACAGCACATCCTTTCTCACCTCTCCTTTCTTTCCTTGTTTTCCCTTTCCAACTGTAGGACAACGATGTAACAGAGTGTGTGTGTGTGTGTGTGTGTGTGTGTCTGTGCACCCACAGCTCCGTGATTTTTCTCATCTCAAAACGTGACATCAACATTTCAGCTCAACAAGTCTAAGTAAAGCCAGTTCTTGTGGCTCAGTATCCCGTCTAATCCTGCCCTCTGGCAGAAGGAACCTTCTCCCCTGTTTTCTTCCCTGTCACTGCAGGATAGATGAGAAATTCCTCGTTACAACCCACTGTATTATTTTGAACCCCCTCCTGTTTATTCCCAGTTTTCTGTGTAGGAGCCAGGTGGAACCTTTACCTGGTGTCACAAACGAATCCCAAAGAGCAGAGGTATTCATCCTTTTCCTCCTCCCTGAGGATGAAGCAAGGAGACAGAACGTTATCTATCTCCAAGTGCCTCTCCCATCCCTCATAGGGACTCTGTACCCATCCCAGCTCTCAGCACCTTTGATCCTGTTCCCATGGGGAACCCTGTTGTCTGTTTATTTTTCCCTGTCTCCTGCAGGTGTCCAAAGCCTCGGCAGACCTGATGCTGTACTGTGAGGAACACGCCAAGAAGGACCCGTTACTCATGGGCATTCCTGCTTCTGAGAACCCTTTCAAGGACAAGAAAACCTGCATTTTGTTATAGGAGAGGGGCAGCTCCTCCCCAGCCCACCTAGGCAAGGCCAAGCACCGACACTCCGTAAGGTCCCAACCGTTCCCTGGCTCGGAGCGGCTTCTCTTTTACCACATGTATAAGTCCTTAAGCTTTCCAGAGCATTCCTTCTGATCCCTGTCTTTATTAGGAAGCTGAATTCATGTCTTTCCTGGCCAAGGGAATGGGGTTGAGCCCAGGAGCAGCACTGGGGTCTCTGCCCAGGGGGGTCCTGGCTGCATTTGCCAAGTCAAACAAGACCAAAGTTGCCTGAGCTTTGCTGATAAAGCAGAGGCCAAGTTGTAGAGACCTGATGGAACATCACTGGGTTTACATTTTTTTAAATGATTAATTGGGGGGGGGGGGGGGTTGTGCCTGTGCTGGCAGCACCAGTTTGTGCACAGTTACATTTAAAGTGCGTTTTCTAGCAAAATAAAGTATCTTGCAAAATGATTGTAGCAGCTGCTGAGGAGCTCCAGGGAGCTGTGCCACAGCCTTCCTCCTGCTGGCCTCTCTTCCCAGTGGAGAGTTGAGAATCAGAGACCTGCAGATTGCTTTTCCTTCTTTTTAAGAGTTGAAAAAGCAGAATTTTCAGCTTGGATTCTGCTGCTCTGCATTTTCCTCTCTAATTTAAAATCCACATTAGCATAAAAACCATCCTGTCAAAAGAATGGAAGGCTGGAACTGCCCTGGAACTGCAGGAAGGAATGCTGTCCTCACTCCCAATCCCAGTTACATTCTGTGCAGGGAGTCAGAATTTGACTCTTTTTTAAAAAAAAATTTTAAAATGGGAAAAATGCCAAATTATATCCAGCTTGTGGTTCTGCATTTATAATTGGAGGGCCTTTTCATCAAGTATATATTTTATATATACACATAATAAAAATATCTTTCTTTGCGTGTCTGTATATATATATATACATAAACTTTGTATGCAAATATTGCATATTAACAGCAAATTTGGAAGGGTATCAAAATAATACTGTCTTCAGCTGGCTGCAAATGTCCTCTGAATCCTGCTGAAGTTGTGATCTGTCATAACTGTGCATTTCCATGAGGATATTTAGAGACTTTATTAACCACTTGTCATTTATGTTGCATATTTTTCATTTCTATATGAAATTATAGACCCACTATTGATATATATTAAGAACTTATATCTTTGTTTAACAAGCCTCTTTGACAAAGAGCTCCAAAATCAGCCTGACAGAGAATTGTGCTGCTTATCCTGTGCTTACGTGCAGATTATTTTTATAGAGTATTTTTCTAGTGGCAATTGAAGAAAACAATAATGCATCTCCACACTAATTCTTTTTTATTGTGTTTGTGTCTATCATTTTATCACACACGTAGGTGGAATTAATGAGCTCAGTTAATTACTCAGTTTGGGGCTGCAAGGCTGTAGCTGTTGAGAACTCCAGCTGTGCCCAGAGGTGGCCAGGCAGGTACATGGCATGCAGGGAAGGAAAGAACCTCATGTGGTTGCATGATTATTGTCTTCCCAGCAATGTGGTGTTCCCACAGGAATCTGCAGGCTTATTTGATTAGAGATCCCTGCTCCCAACCCAAAACCAGCTCCCCATTGTGGCTGCAGGGGGGCTCTTTGTGTCTGCCTTCTTTGTGCCTGCCCTTGAATAAAGCCCACCATGGGGGCTGGGTGGTGATCCAGCTGTGGGACTCTGAATTGTGATCCATATGTGGGGCCCTGATGGGTGATCCAGCCGTGGGGCTCTGGATGGTGATCCAGCTGTGTGATCCAGCCAGAAATCCAGCTGTGAGACCCTGTTTGGTGATCCAGCCTGTTGGCCTGCATCTGACAGCATTTAATCTATAGATACTTGGTAAACTCACTATTTTAAAAATATAAGATACAGGGACACGTGAAATCTGGAGCTGTTACGTTTGTGTTCACTTTTTGCTGTAAGTACTCCCAGGAAAAAAAACAGGTATTGTAAAATTTAGGGGAAATACAGCCTCTGTTCTTGTAGATTTTTTTTTTAAAAAGGAGAAATGAGGCCATCCACAGGTACTGGGAGAAACCTGTGGGGTGCCACAGGGATGCCCCACTGTGCTGCATCACCATGCCACTCCACCATGGTGCATCGTCGTGCTGCCCTTCTCTCTCCTTGGCCAAACTGGCTGATTTGGGGGAGAAAAACCCAAGCATTTGGGTGCATGGCTGTTGCTGGGCCATGTGTCCCCAGGTCAGGGGGACAGGGGCGGGAGGGGTGACACTGAGAGAAATCAGGGGTTGTGGGGGGCTTGGATTGAGTTTGAGCTTGGAGAAACAGCAAATATGGTGATGCTGCTCCTGCAGTGTCCCAGGGCACAGGATGGCACCTGCCTGGTCCTGAGCTACATGCCGGACATGGATAGGGATGGGTGGCCTTGGGCTGGAGTGTCTGGGAGTGGGAGAACTGGTCCAGCCTCACCACTTGGCTAGGCTGCCACCGATCCTGCTGGGGCTGGGGACACTGACGCCCCAGTGCCACTGCTGTGGGGTCACGCACGTGCTATTAGGGATGTCCAGTGTGGGTCAGTAGTGTCCCCGTGGCCTCCCCCACCCCGGGCAGTGCCGGCAGCGTGGGCGGGGGAGGTTGTTCTCCTGCCACAAGAGAGATCCCAGCTGTGTGCCAGGCTGGAGTTGTAATTACAGAGGAGGCTGGCACAGAGACCTCCCAACCCCAGTAGGCACAGGCTGTGCTGGGGGTGCACGGGCTGTGCTGAGGATGCATAGGGAAAAAATCCAGGAGCGTTTGCAGAGTCTGTGATGCAAGAAAGATCAGGTCAAGTTTTCCTCCACCAAGGAATCAGGTTTCCCCACCTTCCAAGACTACTGGAGTAGTGTTGGAGTCTCTGCAATAAAGCTGCCTCTCTTTTCTTAGCTCCTGTTGTTGCAGCATTCAAGCAAAATAAATAAATAACATTCCCAACATTTCCTGCAGCAAGGCGGCTTCTTTGGCGGTTAATGGTTTGGGAGGAGCCAGGAATAAACCCACATGGAGCAGCACAACAGGACCTTGCCCACTGCCAGGACAAGGAAGCAGCTGCTGCTGAGCCCTTTTGCCTGTGCACTAATGGAGTAAGGAAATAAAACCCTGGGCCAAAGGCTTGATTGGAAACTTTATTTCAAAAAAAAAAAAAGAAAACACAAAACAGAAACACCAAAGCCCCCCAAGAAACACTCAAATTTCAAACTATTATATTAATGTTGCTGCTTTTGCAGCCAACTGGTAAAAGATTTGTGGTTGCAGACCAACAGCTTAAGGGCATTTCGGTTCTCAAACCTCCAAGTATAAATAATTTTCCCATCAATATCAGAAAATAACTTATAATTATTATATATCTTAGCATAAAAACATGAGAATTAACATCCCAAAAATACAATAACATTGTTGGCAAAATGCCTTGATTTTTGCTCTTTAAGGTGTTTAAACCAGGAATTTTAAGTTGCACTTAAGGACAGAAAGTGAAGGGTGTTTTCGGCGAGGGCCGTGAGCACCCCTGGCATGTTAGGCTGGGCTCATCCTGTCACTTTTCCTTCACTTCCACACTCATTCCCACCGCTCTGGGATCGCTCTGCTTCAGCCCCACACAACACGTCGCTCCACTGCAGCCAAACCCCCCCCCGACGTCAGTTTTAGCTTTTATTTTTTTTGTTGGGTTTTATTTTTCCTCCCCCTCCCCCGGAATCCCGGTGCCAGGGCAGGGAGTTACTTCCTGAGCAACTGCGAAAGTCTTGCAACACTCCAGTGCAATCGGGATCGGGATGGGCTCCGGCGGTCACCGCTCCGGGAGGTTGATCACCGGCACCCACTGATCCAGGTACCGGCTCTCCCGGCAGAAACACATCAGCTGACTCAGCGCTGGATCCTTCCATTGCGAGGCCTGGGGGTTCTGGAAAGGGAATGGGGGAAGGCTTGGACACGGCAGCAAAAACAGCCTGCGCAGGACAGCAGGGGAAAAAAAAAAAAAAGCACAGCAGAAAGTCCAGGAGTGTGAATCATCTTAAATTGCTACCGAGGCAAACAAACAAGTCAACCCGGGAAGCATGTGAGGAGTTTTGTAGTTTTGGACTCTGGGGCAGAGGAGGGAAAGGAAAAAAAAAAGAAGGCAAGAAAAGGGGAGGAAAGGGAAAGAAAAAGGGGGAAAAAGAAGGGAAGAAAAAGGGGGGAAAGAAGGGAATAAGGGAGAGGAAGGGAGAAAGAAAAAGGGGAAAAAAGAAAAGGAAGAAAAAGGAGGCAAAGAAAGAACAAAATAAAATGAGAGGAGGGGAAAATAAAGGACAGGGAAGAAGGACCCCGTTTTCCCTGGGGCGCGGGAAGCCCCGCGCAGCCCCTGGTGCGGGCGCGGTGAGCCCGCGGGTTCGAGCTCCGGGCACGGCGAGTTGCGGGGGGGCCCGACAGTCTGTCGATGCCCGGCCGTGCCCCTCCCGTGCTCACCGTGACGAGCACGCAGTGCAGGTCGGCGGGCGGGTCGGGGCCCGCGGCGGGCAGCAGCAGCTGCGCCAGGCGCGCCGGGTTGCTGACGCGCAGGATGTTGATGTCGTTCTCGCAGCAGAAGGCCCGCAGCAGCGTGAAGTGGATCTGCAGCGCCGCGTCCCCCGCCTCCTCCTCCTCGGCCGCCAGCAAGCACAGCACCACGTTATCGGGGTCCCTGAGGGGAAAACGCCGTCACCGGGCGGGACACCGGGCGGGACACCGGGCGGAGGGGAACGGGTTAAAGGAGGGGTCACTCACACGTTGAGCAGCTTGGCCGCTTCGTAGACGCCGAGGGTGAGGCTCCGCTGGCTCAGCGCCTTGCTCAGCACCTCCTCCAGCGCGTCCCCCGCCTGCTCCATCCTGCGCCGGGACAAGCGCCCGTCACCGGAGACCCCGCACCGCAGCGATCCCCGCACCTCCCTCCGCCCCCCCCCGCCTCACCTCCCGGCGGCGCGGCGCTCCCCGGGCAGCTCCTCCAGAGTCATCACGGGGCCGCGGGGCAGGGACGGGCACACGGACACGGCGACAGGGACAGCCCCAGCCCCAGCCCCAGCCCGGTCCCGCCGTCGCTGCGGCCGCTCCGGCCCCGCCGCCCGTGCCGGACAAAGGCGCCCCGCGCGCGCGGCCCCTGCCGCGCCCCGACCAACCCGCGCCGCCGTCATTTGCATATCGCCCTCCTATTGGGTTATGCAAATTAGGCCCCGCCCCCGCGTTGCCGAGCCCGGTCGGGCCTGACCCCGCTCGGCGCCGGGAACCGGGACAGGGAATGGTTTGGGATGGGAGGGACCTGAGACCGACTCATTCCACCCCCCGCCATGGGCAGGGACACCTTCCACTATCCCAGGTTGCTCCAACCTGGCCTTGGACACTTCCAGTGATCCAGGGGCAGCCACAGCTTCTCTGGGCAACCTGTGACAGGGACTCAACACCGTCACAGCCAACAGTTCCTTCCCAATATCCCATCTGGTAATGGGAAGCCATTCCCCCTTGTCCTGTCCACCCAGGCCCTGGCCCAAAGTCCCTCTCCAGCTCTCTTGGAGCCCCTTTAGGCACTGGAAGGGGCTCTAAGGTCTCCCTGGAACCTCCTCTTTTCCAGGTGAGCACCCCCAGCTCTCTCCAGAGCAGAGGGGCTCCAACACTCAGAGCATCTCTGTGGCCTCCTTTGGACTTGCTCCAGCAGTTCCACATTCTTCTGCAGTTGTTCCCCAGAGCTGGAAGGCAGCACTGCAGGTGGGATCTCACCTGAGCAGGGCAGAGGAGCAGAATCCCTCCATGGATGGATGCAGTTGTCTGTTTTCCCTGCCTCCACAGGGGTTGCACTCTTGCCATTTCCCTTCCAGTGAATACCAGTGCTGTCAGGACACAGGCTCACCAACCTTCAAATCCTCCACACACTGCACTGGGAAACACCCAGTGCAGTCTGTGGCACCAGCAGTGGGGAAAGCAAACAAACCCTTGACGTGGTTTTCACCAGGAATGTGCTCCAGGGATCCCTCAGCACAATGCTAGCAGCAGGACTTTGCAGTTCCCGACAGCGCCGGCACAGCTGCACTTCTGCCAAAAGTGAGCTGGGCAGCTGGGAGGGACCCACAGACAGCCCAGATCCCACTTCCACAGGGGAGTAGATTTATATTGGATATTGGGAAGAAATTCTTCCCTGTGAGAGTGGTGAGGCCCTGGCACAGGCTACTTAGAGAAGCTGCGGCTGCCGCATACCTGGAAGTGTCCAAGGCCAGTTTGGATGGGGCTTGGAGCAACCTGGGCTAGTGGAAGGTGTCCCTGTCCAAACCACTCTGTAGCTCTGTGATCTCGCTCTGCCAGGCCTTTTGCAGGTTTCCAAGAACTTGGTGTTTCTCCGGGAAGTTGCTTCTGCACCATCTGGCCTGTCTCAGCCCGGCAGACCTCCGGGGAGGATGTCTCCTGACAGGCACAGTGTCAAAGCTTTCTCAGCTGTTGCCCCTAAAAACCTCCATCCTCCTGTGGCTGATGCCAAAACTCTTTCCCAACCCGGCTGTGAGCTGGCTCAGTCCCACCGGCTCTGGCAGAGCAGGGCTGCAGTTGGGACCCTTTGGGGTCCCTCACAGGGCTTTTGGCAATGTGTGCTTCAAAGCTTTGCTTGTGTCGGTGTTTTACTTTGGCTCCAAAACAGCAGGAGCTGCTTTCCAAGGCAGTGTTTGCAGAAGCACAGCTTTGAGTGCTGTAAAAGTGATGCAGAACCACCTTCCATGCACCACTTGCAGAATAATTTAATTACTATTTGGAAAACAAGATATTATAGAATCATGGAATCTTAGAACAATTTAGGTTGGGAGGGACCTTAAAGCCCATCCAGTTCCACTCCTTGCCATGGGCAGGGACACCTTCCACTATCCCAGGTTGCTCCAAGACCCATCCAACCTGGCCTTGGACACTTCTGGGGATGGGGCATATGAAACTGTTTTTCATGGTGGAATACAGAGTGATTTAAGTAGCCCCTCAGTTGCACTGGCTCTGGTGAGGAAACCTCCGAGGAGTTTGCATGTGCCCCCCAGCTCAGCTCTTGCTGCAACCTTCCTGCCTCTGCAGCCTGATGAGAAACAACATGACTTAACAAAGCCCCTGGCATCAGGAGAAAGGGAAAAAAGCCCCTTTTACATCAGGTGGAGGGGTGGCAGATGGCTGGAGCGCAGCAAAACAGGTGGGAGCATTGTGTGGTGACCCTCTGAATTAAGTTCGCTTAATTTGCTCTATCTCTATTAGCAACTGCAGGCTCTGGCTCCGCTGAGAGGGCTCCGACTGTGGCTCACAGGAGGTCCAGCCCTGCAGCCCCATCTGTGCCGGCCCCAGAGCTAAATCTGTCTGAGAGGCATCTGGGAAGCAGCTGAAGCCTCTTTTCTCTCTCCTGGGCGGCGGCAGCTCCCAGACCCGGCAGGCACTGCTCTAAAGTGGCGCTTTCCCTGCAGGTTTCCCGGCTGGGAGCAGTTTTCCGTCCCTCCCTTTGCCCAGAGGAGCAGCAGGGATGCTCGGGAGGTGCGTGAGTCCCTCTGCTCTGCTGCAGGGAGAGTCGGTGGCTGTGCTGGGGATGCACCGTGGCTGCTGGGCTGGGGAGCCCGGCATGGAGCCGGACCTGCAGTTGTCCTTCCATCAGCTCCCAGCTGGCAGCTGCTGCTAAACCTTCCTTTCATCGCCTGCCAAAAAGCATCCAGGGTGTTTTGCTCCCCCCCTGCTCTTTAATCCTGACTTTCATAATTCCCCAGGCTGTGCCTGCCATCCCCTCTGTGTTCGGCATTGCAGAGACAGGGGGCCAGGAGCTGTGTCGGGCCCAGCTGGAGGGCTCATGCTCAGCCAGGGGGCTCAGCTCTTTCCCCCCACGCTGGCAGACCCTCATCCCAAATGTTTCCTGGGGCTATGAGGTTTGGCTACTTGTGGTTGGAGGCAGCTTGGTGAGCAGTGGGTTAACACACAGGGATGTGGGAGATGCCCACAGGAGCCCTCGATGGGAGCTGCCACTGTGGGAGGACATTCTGGGCCAGCTGGAGAGGTGTTTCCTGCACGTCAGAGGATCAAGTTGTTTAATTTAAGTTTTTAGGAATGAAACCAACCATCAAACAGTGTCAGGGAGAGGTGACAAAGTCTCATCCCTGCCAAAGCAGCCGGCAGCTGGCCAAGCCCCTTCCCGGGGAGCTGCCCACTGGGTGGTCCTGGACCCTGAGTCCCACAGAGCAGTGCTGGGGACCTTTTGCTCCCTTTCCACTTGGCTCTGTGCTGTCCCTGTGTTTGGGTGTCCCTGGTCAGCTCCCTTGGTTCCCTGCCTTGCTTTGTCCTAGTGGAACCTGTGTCCAGCCCCCCTGGCTGCTGTCCATCCTGCTGCTCTGTCCCTGTGCTGGGACACACACCTGTGCCTTGTGCAGCCCAGCACCCCGGCCATGCTGCTGTGCCAGGGCCGTGCGTTCCGCCTGGGCGTTCCCACTCCCCTTTGGATCCGCTGGACGAGGGCAGTGAGCGCCTCTGCAAAGCAAACGCCAGCTTGCACATTCCAGGGGCAGCCTCTGCTCCAACAGCCGCTGTGTTTTCCCAGCGGCACCAGTCCCGTGTCACTGAGCTGACCCCAGAGCCCCAGCTGGCTGCTGGATCCAGGCACATCCACCTTCTCAGGCCAGGGCATCCCACCCTGGAGCACTGCAGGAGCAGATTCCCTGGACTCTAATGCTCAGCAAACTTCGGCTTTGCCTCCCTGCGGAGAAGGGAAGAGCCTGGAATTGCCCCAAGACCCGGCTTCCCCAGCACCATCAGTGTAAGCCCCTGGATGGGCACCATGTTCTTACCAGCACTGGCAGCAAAACAAGGGCAAAAAGACATTTTCCCCCTGTTTTGCTTGGAGTTTCTCCATCCTTGATGGAACTAAAAGCAGGGTTCAGCTGGAGCAATCCCTGCTGGCATTCAGGGTTTGACTTTGGCCAGACCTGGGAGTGCACAGGGCAGCCAGGGAGTCTGAACCCAGTTGGATTTGGCTCCAAAGCCAGGCACTGTGCCAGTGGCTTTCCCAACCTCCCAGGTCACAGGAGTGTGGCCCAGAGCCCAGCTCGGTGGTGCTTCACAGGCAGCACGGAGCAGCAATGGGACTTCCCTGGCAGAGAGCAGCCTGGCCCGAGCTACTTTGCAATGCTCCTGCAGACTCCTGATCCAGGATTACCTCTCCCAAAGGTGGGAGGGCAGAGGGCTGAGGGTTTAGGGTATCTGGGATGTGTTCATCCCACCAGGTTTGCCAGGCTCAGCACATTCCTGCTGTCCTCAGTGCTGCTGAAATATCACTGAAAGGGAGCTGGGTCTCACCAGCTGCACATGCTGGGGCTCAGCAGCAGGAACCCCACAAACAGGGAACACAAGTGTGAGCCTGGGAGTGCTTTAATTAATTTAAACTGAAGGAGGGGAGAAAATTTGATTAGAAAATAGGAAGAAATTCTTGGCTGTGAGTGTGGTAAAACACTGTCACAAGTTGTCCAGTGAAGCTGTGGCTGCCCCATCCCTGAAAGTGTTCAAGGCCAGGTTGGACGGGGCTTGGAGCAACCTGGGATAGTGAAAGATGTCCCTGCCCATGGCAGGGGGTGTAATGAGATGAGCTCTAAGGTCTCTTCCAGCCCAAACTATTCCAGGATTCTATGATTTTGTGATTTTATGTTTCACTTATGTCCCACCTCCCTGGGTAGATGCTGGAACGTCTTTTCCTTCCTCAGAAAAGCTGGGCAGCCCATGATGTGCTTCAAGTCCCAGCTCCACTGCCAGCAGCTCCTCATACCTGTGAATTCAGGGTAGCAGAAACCTGTGCTGCTCCCTGAGATGTGCTGGAGAGGGCTACTCCTGCTCCTGGCACTGACATTCCCTCTGTCTGCCCCTTCCCACTGCTGTCCCTGGCTCAGGGTGCATCCCTGCATCCCTTCTCTCTGGATGAAGAAGGCATTTTTCCCACCTTGTGCACATCCCCCAGCAGGCTGGGCACACGTGGCAACCCTGGGTGCTGGCAGGAACCATCCCTCTGGCAGCGCCGAGCGAAGTCCGGGATCGGGACAGTCAGACCTGCAGTAAAGAGTAAAGCAAACTTTGTCCCATTTAA